GACCTCCACCCGGTCAAGGGCCAGCTGTGGAACCAAAACACGCCCGGAAGCCAAAGGACACCAACTTGAGATGAAGTCCAAGAGTCAAATGCAGTGCAACGTTAACTGACCCTGTCATATGTAAGGCGCGGTAAAATTGACATCCAATGCTAATACTACAGCTTCCATGCAACGGCATTTTCTGTTCTTGAGGTGTACGACTCGTTTCGAAATCCTTGCTTGGCCATCAGGACAATTAAAGAAGTATCAATGGGATTCTGGATAGTCTAGAACGTTCAGCTCAAATGTTATCGGAAAGAAAGACACACTCCGAATCTATTCTCAAGAAGGACTAGCATTTGAAAGAGGAAAGTAACGAGTCCATCTTCAGCTCAACACCGGTCGTCGGCGGGCATTCAAATATTCATCCATCATCCTTCGTAGCCTTGCAATGGCATGTCAGCAAAGTGGCGTTGTTCTCGATCGACCTTGAGGTGGCAACTTGAACCCGTGCTGGAGCTGGGGAACGCACAAGGATCGCGGGCCCATTCATGGCCCCCCAACGGTAGTGATGACTTTTATCATTGCTCCCTTGGAAGAAAGCAACTTCAGTCTCCGAACGTCGAAGCGTACAGTAATGGAGTGAGGCGAAGAGAGTTAGCGATCTCCACCGAGCTTACAGTCTCGAGTGTCCACCGATTATGTCACATTCAACAAGCGACTACCTCGTCCGTTAAAATGGGAATTAGGTGGATGTGCCTCGTTGGATACGGACCTCTTCATTCCCAAACCAGTGTTAAAGCAACAATTGAACATAGGCCACAACTTGGTTGCCACCACCCTGCGCCAGCCAGACTTCGTTAAAGCTGGACGCTACAAATGCATCCCAAGTCCAAGAATGCGCCCACAAGGCATTTGTATTTGTTGACACTATTTGAAACAACGCTGGTCATACTATTATGTGTTGGTGAAGCTGTCATGGTTGCCAGAAGTCTGTGAGTCGTCTGTGAAAGAGTGTCCGAATGTTGGTATCATCTTCCAGTAATATTTGGTGAGACTTGAACGAGCCGAAAGTATCAGTCTAGACGACGTGTTAAACTTGAGCGCTTGAGCTTATGTAAGCTTGATAACAGACACTCTAACAGAAGTCATGGGATAGAGGATAGATAGTACGTATACGGGATCCCTTGTCAAGACCCCCTAGGTTCAGTGTGGACGATAAGGACACGTTCTCTTGTGTTTGTTGAGAGAATCTCTGCGCGAATATGTAGATCCGCACTCGCACTTGTGCACAATCCTCATGTGTTTTTCCTCGATATGTCTCGCGAGACTCTCCTTTTTGAGCTTCATGCTATTACAAGAGATACATTGGCGAGTACTGTCTGACCCGTGAATTCCATGTTTCTCTTGTAAATGATGGGAGAGATCGCGGCCGCAAATCAAGTCGTTGCAATGCAATTCTTGACATTGTGGCCAATCCCAGAAACACTGAAACACCTCATTGATAAAATGTCCCTGCAAGCGTCGATTTAATCGCTATGATGTCATGCAAGATTTACAACTCACAGGTGCCGAGTCAGATACTCCGTTGGTCTGGTAGTGTTGAAAGCGCCCTGACATGATAGTGGCGATTGGCTAGGTGTAAATTTAAACTTATGACATCAACCTGGGATAACTTCACCCCCGTGATAGTAACTTGCAAAATCGACAAACTGTTACAAATTTGTTGTTCAAAAATGGAGTTTCGTACTACGTGAATATTATACCACCAGGATAAACAGAGCTAGTAAGTACGTCGGAAGCAACATAGACAACAGATACTTAAACTGAAGTCATGGGATAGAAGATAGATAGAACGGGATCCCTTGTCAAAAGACTCCCTATTTAATGCTGCTTCTCTCTCCTGTGTCTGTTGAGAGTATCTCTGCGCGAGAATTCTTTGCCGCACCCGCACGGGTGCACAATCTTCAGATGTTTTTCCTCAACATGTCTCGTAAGACTCTCCTTATTGAGCTCCAAATAACAAGAGTTCCATAGGCAGAAAACGTGATCCTTGTCTGACCCGTGAATTCCATGTTTCTCTTGTAAATGACGGGAGAGATTGTAGCCGTAAAAGAAGTCGTTGCAATGCAAATCTTGACATTGTGGCCAATGCCAGAAACACTGAAACGTTTCATTGACAAGATGTTTTTCCTGCAGGCGTTGATTTAAAACGCAATGATGTGAAGCAAGAAGATTAACAACTCACAGGTGCCGGGTCAGATACTCCGTTGGTCTGGAAGTGGTGAAAGCCTGACATGATAGTAATGACGCGGCGATTGTGATAGTTATGCTTGCAGACTTGAGTATCTGAGGGAGCGATGAATGATTGCGAAGTCCACTGTAGTATATAAGTGTTCTGGACGACCTGCTAGGAGGGTCATCGTTCCAGCTGTCCCAACACCAGTTGGTAGGGACTCCAGCCTCGTGGGCTGGCGAGGTGCCAGCGCCTGGACGGTGAAATTTTCGTTGGTTGGTAAACAGAACCATGTCCATCGAATACGAGCCAGCTGCCAGTGGCCTTGGCCTTCAACAAAGCGTGCCGTCCATGAGTATCAATATCCCCTGCCGAGTACACGTGCAGAATAACAGGACCATCAAATTTCCGCTGCCAAAAGTATGACTCAGTCAAGAGGACGATGGCCAAACGTGCCAATATGGTCAGAATTGGGTAGGTACGTAGCTTCTATGACGACCTCCACCCGACCAAGGGCCAGCTGCGGAAACAAAGCACACCCGGAAGCCAAAGGACGCCAGCTTGAGATGAAGCCCAAGAGTCAGATGCAATGCAACTGGTCCTGTCATATGTAAGGCGTGGTAAAATTTCGGTAAAATGGACGTCCAATGCTAATACTACAGCTTCCATGCAACGGTATTTTCTGTTCTTCAGGTGTACGACTCGTTTCGAAATCCTCGCTTGGCCATCAGGACGATTAAATCAACGGGACTCTGGATAGTCTAGAACGTTCAGCTCAGATGTCGCAAAGAAAGACAACCCAGCATAGCCACAATGGACTCCACACCACCCATTCGCAAAGCTGCACTACAATATTGTCATTCCGAATACTGCGTTAGCAAAACGCTCTCTGCAATGAAGGCAACAGGCTTCAAAACTTCACCTTGCGACAAGCAGTCGAGTCTCTGAGTTCGTTAGAAAAGTAACTCCTACAATGTCAGGATGGCTATTAGAAGCTGCTTTGGAACCTACCTTTGTACGTCAAACCATCCACCTTTGCCATTCGTTTTCTTTCTTATTAGCCGTACTGGGCTAGTAACTACAGACTGGGAGAAAAGTGATCGATCACGATCATCAGCAAATCCCAAAGGACGCAAATCGGAGCACTCTCGTGCAGTCGCGTTAATGACCCTGGAACCGCGAGGCATAATCAGCAAGGACTTCCAGCAGTAGTGATGAGATCGTCATAGTAGGTCATTTCCAGCATCGAGATCCAACAAGGTAGCTCAATTGAGGATTGGAAACGGAGGGGCTGGAACTTGGGGGTATTGGGCGGCTCGGCAGGTACCACTCATGTTTCAAAGTTTGATCGCTTGCAGATTTGCAACGTGTGCCAAAGGGTCGATGGTCTTCCAGAAGATTACTAGTAAAATGGTCACTCAGCACTCATTGCTCCCGTGCCAATCCAAAAAATCTATCCGAACTTCGAATGTGGCAAATCAAAATGACTGACACGGCACATTTGTCGTCCATGAAGCCAGCCCACCCATATTGCAACTCTCGAAAGCTTACTTCCAATTTGTCTTGAGACTCGGCGTATGCAACGGAATTGGAACCCATTTGTCAGCGCAGCGATACGGGTCTTCACGCTCGTTCGTCGTCGTCCTTGCTAGCATTGAAAGCAACGCAAGCAAGATGGACAGGCCGCAAAGCGGAAATCCTGGAACAAGGCACGAGCACCGCCTCGATTTTTTGCACTTGCGACGCATCCAAATCTGCCTCGTTCGTGACCGGTGACCGCCCATTTCAATGCTGGCAATCTCCGACCTTTCCGCCAACATCGGTTTCACGACCATAGGTGACGTATGACCTAACTATGCATTTGTAAACTTCTAAACGTTTTGAACAGGCCGCCTCAGGTGTTCTCGATCTGTAAAAAAAACATCGCTTCCAAATACAGAGGTTACGGGAGATGACAATATCACCAACAAAGCCTGGGATACACTGTACGCATGAAGTCGTTAGCTTTACGCATTGACATGTATTCCCTATGGATTCTTGGAGCGGTCTGTTGGGTTGATCGTATATGAATGGCAAGGGTTTAAAGCTAGTAGTGCCGAACGTCGTCCTTTTTCCTTGATTATATGTGCACGGGAGATGTAGCGATGAAGTACGTCACCTACACAACTAGTAACATGTATGGGATGCAACACGAGATCCGTACTCACACATGTTCCCCTTGCTTCCTGGACGTACATACCATAAAGAAATATTCGACTTTTTCTATGTCATGATAATGCGTTGGCGAACACAATCTGATAAGTGGATGCGCTAGATATATCCTCGTGACCATAGCATAGGGTTAGGAGTTAGCTCAGTAAGCCGCGTAATCATATCAAAGCTTGGTTCTGCTTCACCACCGCCTGAGCGATTAAGATGTCTTTATCCATTCATGCCGCCGCCCAAAAAAGTGCGCTTTTGCGGTGTCTCCTTATTCACATCTGATGGCCTGACTTCCCATCTTCTAGATCAACCTGCCCTTGTTCGTGCGTTGACAGAAGAGAATCCAAAGCTTGTGAATGCTGTCGATGACGTGAGCAAGCCTTCACAAGTTTTATTAGACCGCCTGATGCATGTACCCCAGGATGGTAGGACCCCACTGCATTGGGCCGCGTCGAGCGGCTCGACCGAAATTGTGTGCTATCTCATTGGGAAGAACTCAGATGGAATCGACAACGTGGATGAGAGTGGATGGACAGCCTTGCACATAGCTGGTATGATTTATTGAATACCATACGTTTATAACATGAACTCATACACTTCGAGTTCAGTAAGCGCAGGCCATGAAGATGTCGTTCGAGAGCTAGTGGGTGCCGGGGCTGAAGTAAACAGAAAGAACGACAAGGGAATTACTCCTCTGTTAGTAATGTTCCCGCTGGAGATCATCTCTACTACTGGTTTGACATGTGCTGCTCAGACACTACGCGGCATCAAAGTCTCGCATTGACGTACGTGGGCGTTGGTATTATAAGCGTGCATGTGCTAATAGCGTCTACATCGACAGATCGGAAGGTTCCTGATTGAAAGAGGAGCAGACGTATGTGAATCCATCGAGAATACTTTGCAACCATAAAATGAGTGACGACCAGATAAACGCCAAAGATAAGGCGAACCAGACGCCCTTGTGAGATCGATAACGATTGCACGCCATAAACTTATTCACTCAAGCTCTCTTAGGCATCGAGCAGCAACGACAGGCTCTACGGGATTCGTTGCACTCCTGCTCAGTCCTCCTGAAGGCTCAACAACTGCCAAACTACGGCTGAACACGGGCGACCGGATAGGTGGGTTTATCATCACATTTATTTAGCAGATTAGATCAAGGCGCTATTCTCAGGCAATACACCCCTTCATCTCGCTATGGAGTCGGCTCATGCCCAGGTTGCGGTTATGTTAATCGAGGCAGGTGCTGACCGTGGGAGGGTGCGTCATTTGAGTCTGACTTCGCGAGGGTGTCGTGTTATTGATGGTGCCTTAGACTAATTTAGATGAAGTAACCCCTGAGAACGTTGATGGTGTCGGAGGCACCGAGCAGAGAAGAGCGAAGCAACATGTAATCGATCACTGCGGCGAGCCCTGAGGCCTGGTTACTGGACGAGAAAGTAGAAGTAGAAGTAGAAGAAGAGCGGTGCTACCAGTACCCGCCGACTGTAGGCATCCACAAACAACTTCTATTTGCACAAGCATACCAGATTATTCTACATACATGGTTACGCATGAGTAGTATCACAAAACCACACAAGGGTAGGTACAAAACATATCAGACTGCAAGGCACCGCATGAGAACCAGAGAACCCATAGAACTTCGAAGGTCCAAAACCTTTTGAGCAAGGTAGGTAGGCAGGATGAAAGAGTATCATAGATCCGAAGTAAGACATCTAGTGTTATAGTACATAAGAAGTAGATGATCTAGAATTCTTATATAAGTCGCAGTTAGAAATGTGCAGCGAAAGAGGTCAAAACGATCTCACCTAGAGAAACCGACGCAATAGGAATCAATTCTACAAGGGCCTTTTGGGAAGTAATTCGATGATTCGGTCTTGTTTGATGGTGTGCCCATTCTTCCCAAAATAACGGGTGGTATCGAAGGACCAGTGCAACGAACCAACCATCCAGTTCTGTAGCCCTTCGATATAGATAGCCACCTGCTTGTCAAGCTGTTCTCCCCATGAGGGGAGGATATCACGGTTGTCTTCAAAGCGCTGGATAGAACCCTTGCACATCCGGTCAACGTAGTCAATAGCGCCTTGTAGGTTTAAACCTTGTTCGCGCATAAGCACGACAACTATGTTATGTGTGTCATGGCGAGATTGCTCCACGTTGTAAGAGAAGATATCCTGTCAACAATGATGTTAGCAGTACTCTAGTATTCGACGACATAATGGGACATTACGTTGGACCAAGTAACAAGGTCGTTGGTTGCTTCCTCCATGGCCATGATAACTGGATGTGACATTACTTTATCGGGGAGATCAATCAGAGCTGCATATTCGATGAGGGCAAAGCAAGGCTTGCAGGCACTTGTGTCTCGCCTCGCGGTGATATAAGATTCAAGATCAGGGATATGTCCCGTGGCACGGTCCTCCGCCTGTTTTGCCGCGGCAATGAAAAATAGGTCCATTGCGTGGATGAATCGCTCAGTGCAGCCGGGGCCCCCGGTCTGCATAAAGCGGCTGAAGTACCTAGTATACAAACAGTTAATCTACAGTGAAGATTCGTGACAGAGTAGACCGACATACGATTTACACATCTTTCCGGCGAGTTTTTCCGTCTGGGAGTTGATCGGATCGCGAAACGCAGAAATGCAACATTCACGCATTCCCCACGTACCGTCGGCATCAAACTCATCCAGCCAGTCATCCATATTGAACAACCAGTTCAGGAAATCCGAGCAGACCCGGAGATGAAAAGCATCTGCATCGGGATAGCAGGCCGCAGTGAGTTCACCTGCGTGCAATCCCATAAATTTTGTCACTCTGTGCTCTGCAAGATGCGCTCCGTCAAGAAGCCATTGCTCAGAAGTGCGAGACACTGGATGACAGTCAGGATTCAGCCGCAGCGGATAGTGACAATCGCTGATAAGGTCAGGTAAAATAAACCTTGTAGTCTCAAAGTCAGAACGGGTGCTAGCAGATGTTGTAGGGGGCATGGAACTCATCGTAGTCGTATCGAGAATGTCGAGATGAGTGACAGGGTGGACGGAAACAGGGGAGACGCAAGTGAAGAGACAGATTTCTCAGAAACGTTTTGAGTATTTATAGTGATGGAGGCTTTGAAGGGAATAACAGTTCAGGCCGTTCAAGAAAACGCGGTGTTGCATAGCTGTCATAGCGGCAGGTTTAAGTTAGGCGTAAAGGCAAGATGAAACGACTCAAATATAAACCACGTACTTAAAGATGCTAGCATGTACGTGTCGCATCATAATGGCATGCCCATGATACCCATGGTCTGCCATTGGAAATAAATGCATGATGTGCCGGTTGATTTGGCGTATCGATAGTCTGGTCAGCAATACCTAACAAGCTCTAGAATTTAATGAAACTAGGGTTCGATAAGGACCGAACACCTGGCTCCGGAACCGATGGAATTCGTGTGCAATCGGAAACTGCAGGATGACATTACCGGAACAAGAATGGTACTCATCTTGGATCGTGATCTATTGTCTCGACGTACAATGTGTCTGAGCTATTAGGTGGCTGGAATCGACTCGATTCTTAAACGAGGTAACGCACTTATAAGTTGTACCAAGCAAGAGGCTGCAGAAATGGTCAACCGTCCGAGTCGCTTCAGGACGAAGCATGATTTCTCCACGCTCCATAAACTTTATGTGTCAGACTCCCGGGAGGATTCAATACCCCGGAAAAGCACTAGTCATGAAACACTATGCATGCGGTCAGCAAAATCAGCTGCACTACCTTACTTTTCATTCGGATCCGGTTTGAAGTATGTTGAAATAGGCCGGCAGGAACGGATCGTCAGTGGTCCGACATCTGCGGTGACATGTAACTGTACAGTTTTTCTGGCAATCATGATAACAATAAAATGCCAAGAGTACTGATAATCTGACTGAGCCATTCATAAAACGGCCCTACAAACACCAACGCCGGGTAATATTGATGTTGGACTCGAGCCGGAATATTGAATAGGTCATGGAGAGAACAGTCAACGTCCAAGTCCGGACCAAACTGGGGTATTACGTAATAATACAACCCTGGAGCTGCACGTAGTAGCCCAAGTGCTGCATTGAACAACTCCAGTGCTTGTCAAATGCCGTCGACTGCGCTCCCACTAAAAGTTACTCCTGCATCAACACCCGCAAGAGCTTCACCGCAACCATCTGCTTCAGGCTCAAAGACTCCCACAAAGCATGCCATTGCCACCAACCCTGGTGAAATATCTAGCCCCCATGAGCTAACAGCTTTTGTGCGTTTGCCGAGTTCCTGCTCCTGCAGCCTCCCGACTTGCAAGTGACGATCAACAATTCTTACAGGTCGAAACTTTACTTGAACAACTTGATACCCAATTTGACACTATGTCGTCTCAGATTCTTGATCACAGTGCGTTTGCGACCTCCTGTGACCTTTCATTGAACCTACAGATTGAACCATCTCGCAGTGATGCAAATGTCAAATAGAGTGGATGCACTGGAGGCTGCTATACAGGATATTATTAGCGGGGATGTAACCACACCAAGTGCATCTATGTCGTCGACACCGCTTCTAGCTGCCGGTGCAGCGCTGCCAGGTATTCGAAGGAGCGGAAGTGGCGCCTAGTAATGGGGACATGGCACAGTTTCAGTTTTCGACTTCGTTTCATCACTCAACAGTGTGGCTCTATTTTTCGGTTGACAATATGTTAACAATATCATTTCATAATTCCATTAGCACATACGGACTGGCCGGTTATATTGTTTTGCAATAGCAAACAATTGTATCTTAGCCGGCTCGGATCGTCTCGCATGCGAAGCAACACGGCTTTATTCTGACCTGTTAGGTATGCTTTGGAGGCATCAGCACAGATACTACTCGGATACCCATCTATATCGCACACCGCGTCAATTCAACCACTCAAATCTCTTTTCGAACGCCTGAAGTTCCCCAAGCCACCCTTCATTGCACAGGACCATTGGGCACATAATATCTACCTTGAAGTTGAAAAAGATCAGTTCGACCTACAGCATACAAACTCGGCCGTGCGGATACCGTTTTTTCCCCGCACAACAAGCTTTGCATTTGTCCAGTACGCATTTTTATCGTTGTTCGTTCAGGAAGGCTGTATCCACCTATCCGCCTGCGAGGAATGCCTATCTTCAGCATCGCATCAAGTGCGGTATTACTGCGTTTTCATGCACCTCCCGCTGGGCTCACCCAGTCAGCAACTCAAACTTGAAGATAGAGACTAATCCGACCCTGGTTGATGACCCACTCCCAGCATCCGCGCGGATGTGCAACTCCTCGTCCTGATATCAGAGGGAGCTTAGCCCCGAATGGATCGTCAGGCTGGGTGTTGGCGTAGCAAATGCAAAGTACAAGGTTGCGATCTCCTCTAGTCCCGAAATGGTGGTTCCTTTTGTAATTTTTGATTGATTTACTAAATGGTTCGGAAATCGCAGGTCGGTGAAGATTTGCCAAATGATTGTCCAAATTACGAGATTAACACTGTCAGTGAAAGCCGCCCGAAGTTACCAACTGATCCACACCTTCACCATCCATCCCTCCAATACTTCCCTACTATCCTGTGCAAAAAAGGATAGCCGCACCGTACTCTGCCATCTCGTAACGAAGTCGGGTCACGAAGAACAGATGCACTTGATTCAAAGTTTTTGATGATTTTCTGCAAGTCTGTTTGTCTTAATTCTGTATCTCCTTGTAACCGAAGATTATTTTCTCAAGGACCATACCATGATTAGGGGCGCAGTCAAAAAGCTTATTATTACCAGCAGAATAAACACAAAACTCACCGGTCTTCAAGTTTCAGAAGGGACACTGCAGGCGAACCGATGTGGGTCCAATAAGGGACGGAGCACTGCCACCGATCGATCAGTCTATAATGAAATGTCTTGAGCAAGTCTTGAGCACTATGTCATGCACATCGGGTGGGGTATAAGTGAAGCGAATTGCTCCTTTTCGTCGTAACAAACCATGTCAACCGCCAGGGCACCGTCTCGTTACTCTACCCCTGGGATGTTCAGCACATTCAAGCTGGACTGCAAGGCTGCTGCACTCGAGTTCGTCGGGACAACATTCTTTCTACTCCTAGGGCTCGGCGGTATTCAGGCGGCCAATGGCGAGGCTGAGTCCAGTGGTACCACCATCGAACATGTGATGTACATCGCGACGTCCATGGGTTTCAGCCTTCTAGTCTCCGCTTGGTTGTTCTACAGGATCACCGGTGGCCTCTTCAACCCCAATATCACACTAGCACTGTTTCTCGTGGGAGTGATGAATCCCGTAAGATTCGTGTTGTTCTGCATCGCACAGCTGGTCGGAAGCATTGTTGCATCGGCGTTGTTGCTTGCGCTGACTCCTGGACCGCTGGCTGTCAAGTGAGTGGCTGTTGTGACTATCGATTTTGTCGACC